CTCTGAGTGATCCTACGACCGAAACAGATCCGACCTGCCTTACCTGCGCCGTTACATTAGGCTGGTTCTTGACTACCACTACCACGCGCTCTCTTTGCTATCGTACGACCACTAGAAGCACTCTCAGCTACTGTTAATGCTGCTACACCATACTCTAGTGTCCAGCCATGCTAGATCCGCTTTCGCTTTCGACCTTTGCGCTTTGTAACCTCTACTAATTGCTCTTTAAGCTCTCGTACGCAAGCTTTAATTAGAATATTCTTATGTAGCATCTCTTCTGCTCCTTTAACACGCTTTAAGAAGCTTTCTTAAGCACTTGTTAGTAATCGTACAAAGGATTCCCTTACAAGCCTTAATTGCGATCTAAATTCAAGCGGGTTACTTAGTTGTTACACGGGGTTAGGCTATACTTCTCTAGGCTCGATCCGTACTAGGGCGAGGTAGACTTAAAGCGGTAGTTCCGTGAGGTGTCGTATAGAAGGATTAGGTGGAAAAGAGTTATCGTTATTAACCAAAGTTTATACAATACCAATTCTATAAACAATAGAATAACTATGTTACACGGGGTTTCCTAACACTATCAGAAACTATACTTACCTAGTCTCGGTCCGGGTTAGGGCGAGGCTATCTTGTGGAAGTATCCGTGAGGTAATTGTCTGGCGATAAGGTGGAGAGAAGTTATAGGAGTTAACCAGGTTGGTAAGACAAACTAATTCTATTGGAAGATAGAATAACTAAGTATCAATCTGTGTAAGAGAAGAACTTATGAGAGTTGACCACAACGAGTGTAATAATGAAATCCAACCCATTCTTATACCCATCGTGTTCTGTCCTGTTCTCCCTCTTCTCCCTTGACATCCTTGTCTTCTGGGAGATGTGGGAGAACGCCTTCTCCCATCCTGGCCCATTATCCCTTCCTTGGCGGGAGAACGGCTCTTGGCGGGAGAACGCATCACGTGACCCCAAGCCCCGCGATGATCATTACCTTCTGACGTGGACGTGGTTGGCCTTCAACCTCGTCGTTCCCCGTCAAGGAGAGAATCCTTCTTGTTACTTGTAACAAACTAGTTAACAATCTATGTAAGAGATAAACTATTTAAGTTAACCACAACAAGTGTAATAATGAAATCTGTCCATCCTATATACTCATTGCAGTCTGTTCCTGCCATCCCGTCCATCCTAAGTGCAAAGGATGTTCGTGATAGCTCCGCCATCCCAAGTGGCTCTGCCATCCCAGATGGTCAGCCTTGGCGGGATGTTAGTCACGTGATCAGCGCCCCGCGCTGATCGTTACCTTCTGACGTGGTCCTTGGTTAGCGCTCCTCGCCAACTCCTTTATCAAGGGTGGAGTTCCTTTTGTTGCTTGTAATATTATCCCCCCTCCTAGGCGTATCGTCCCGATACCCTAGATTATTGTTTTCCTATGCCGCGTTTTGGTGAGCAGGTCGCATATAAGGCTTCTATAGGTCCGTCGTGTCGTAACCGTTTCCTCTCTTGCTCCGCCTTCCTAACCATGCCTAAAGTTCCGTCTTCCCGCCGTTCTCGTCCCCAGAGTTCAACTTCTAAACGTCGCGCCCGTGCTAATCGTGTGAAAGAGCAGGGTTTAGAGATGACTTTTTGTTGTAAGCGCTGTGAAGAAAAGAACCTTCGCTGTTTCGTGGATACTGAAACAGGTCGTTACGCTAGCTGCATTTTAGTGAAGGCTAAGTGTAGCCTGTTTATGTCTAAGGAAGAGTGGGAGAAGGTTTAGCGGGAGAAGCGAGAGAAACGTCTCAAAGTTGCGCATTTAAAAGCTTAGCTAGCCCAGAGCGAACTTGAGCTCCTAGAGGCTAAGGCGCAAGAGCAGTCATTTGCTAATTAAGATCTCGCCATTTTGAATCTCCAGGATCGCGCGAAAGAGCAAGCTAAGGGGAACTCTGCCCCTAGTACGGACTTTCTAGCAACCAAACCATCGCTACCTAGATTATCAACTAACTTGGGCTAGTTACAGGCTGACGCTTCTTTTGATCCTTCTTTTGATCCTTCTTTTGATTACTTCCTTTCCCTTAAGGACCTAGTCCTTGCTTCCCTAGGTGTTTCTAGTAGTACTTAAGTACCTATAACTTGTAGTTCGTCAAATTTTCCTTTAGCTCCTAAGTGTTCTGGCTTTCTAGCCATCCTTGCCACTTAACCAAGTATTTCCACTAACGACCGACTTTCTGCAGGTCCCTAATTTCTTCGACCTCGTACTCGTCGTCTTCAAGCTCTATGTCTATTGCTAGCTTGGCATCTAGAGGTGCTAGTTCTAGGAGTTTCTTATAAAAGATAGGGTGGACGCGCATGCCTAGTAGTAGTTAAAGTTTATAGTTTACTATACCTATTTTCTCTAGGATTTTAAAAGGTCCTACTTAGAGGTTATCTAGTTTCTTGCATAGTCGTTTAGTTTTCAAGTACTGTCGTGACAAGAAAACTTTGTCCCCCTTCTTAAAGGTTAGTCCCTTAATCCTTTGCTTATTAGCCGCTCTAGCTGATGTGAGGTTCCTGTGAGCTATGTTCTTGCTCAATTCTTCGTGCAGCTCTCGCATTAAGCGGGCTTTATCGTCTGCGCCTACTGCGATACTCTCTATATCTTTAGGATCTCAATAAGCAGTTGGCTTATATCCGTAGTTCGCATAGTGTAGTGAGTACTTTGTTGTTACAGACTTAGTACTATTGTAGGCCAATTGTGCTATTAGCAAGAGTTTAACCTAGTTGTCTTGTAGCTTATTAGCGTACATCCTTAGATACTGTTCTAGTGTCTAGTTCGTTCTTTCCGTCTAGCCGTCTGTTTTAGGGTGAAAGCTAGTTGATAGCTTCTTCTTTACTCCTAACTTCGCTAAGAATGTGTTTTAATATTTAGACGTAAATAGTTTGTCACGATTAGTAATAAACTCTTTAGGTATTCTATGTTCTGATATTAGTGCTTTACTAACTTTGTATGCGCATTCTTCCACGGTGATAGTTTCTTTAGTAGGCACAAACTTTGCTCCTTTCATGTGTCAGCACACGATGACTAGGACTATGTCGCACAATCTTCTAGATCTTGGTTCTAACGATTTCGGGAGTTTCACTATAAAGTCTATCGTTACGCTACTCCATAGTCTTATTGGTGGCGGTAAGGGCTGTAACAGGCTGTAGGGCTTATGTCTCTTGGGCTTGTTCTAGTGGCAAGCCAAACAGTTGCCTAGGATATCCTGTACCTTCGCTCGCAAGCGTGGTATCGCAAACACCTTAGCTAGTTGTCTAACCATTTCTTCTGTTGCTACATGTCCGTACTCTAGTAATTCATGCAGTTCCTAGATAAGACTTAATCTCATGTGTGGAGGTACATATGTTCGATCTCCTCAAATCATATCTCGGTACTCTCGTTCGTCGTGTAACAGTTTGTTAGAGCCGTCTTTCTTGGGCTTAAACTGCCAGTTAGCGGCTTTCTGCTGCCATTGCTGCTGTAATAATTCTACCCGCTTGGCTACCTTAGCTACCCTAGCTAGTTCTAGCTAGTTATATTGTAGTATGCCATTAAGCATTTTCTTAAACATGGCTTTATGTAGTTCCTTATAATTTTCTTCTTGTAGATTAGATCTCCTGCTTAGAGCATCTGCTGCTCCATTAAGCGTTCTAGCTTAATAGGTTATCTTAAAGTTAAACTAAGCTAACATCTTAGCCTATTAGACTTGCCATCTATTAAGTTTCTTTGTTGTTATAAACGTTGCCAAGTTCTAGTAATTAGTGAAAACCTTAATCTAGTGTGGCAGCCCCAATAAATAGACTTCCCACTGTTTAAAGGCATTAACTACTCCTAGTAGCTTCTTATCGTGAACATTGTAGTTAAGTTCTGCTCTAGAGAACTTCCGTGAATGGTAGAACACTAGTCTCTATTTCTTATCTAGGCACTTTTGTAATAATATAGCCCCTAGTGCGTAATCTAACGCGTTAGTCTTAATCCGCGTTTCTCGTTTTAGGTCGTACATCTCTAGTACAGGTGCTTTAAGGAATATCTACTTAATTCAA